CATTCTCTGGTCTCCATGGAACTGTCTGCCTGTCATTCTTCAATATCATTGTAAATGTGTCCTCTGCGAGACTTTATTTCCCCACTCTCAACAAAGGGCTTTGTGTCTTCTGTTTTGTGATTTTTGATGTCAGTAGATGCATGACAAGCGTGTGAGTGTGTGTGTGTGTGTGTGTGTGTGTGTACAACTGCATGTGTGCATAAGTGTGTTACTAACATCTCTTCTGAGCCCTTCACCATTTCTAATTTAGTCAGCTTATTTTCTTTCTTCTTTTTTTAATTACTAATTTTGTTGAAAGTAAAATTGAGGCTAAGGTATGAGACATTTGGAATCTAAGATAAAAAAGTCATTTTTTTCAAAACAGAAGTAAACATACATAAACACATAAATATGTATTTATCAATCATCTGAAAATCCTTATGTACCATGTTAATTAACCTAAAGGGATTCTAATGGTATATTTGGTCACCCAGAACTGGGTAGACAGACTGAAGAGAACTAGTAAAAGTGATTTCAACAGATGACCATTGTACTGTCTATTTTTACGTCAACTTGATACAAGCTAGAGTCATCAGAGAGGAGGGAGCCTCGCTTGAGAGAATGCCTCCATCAGATCCTGCTGTAGGTAAGCCTGTAGGACATTTCCTTAATTAGTGATTGATGGGGGAGGGCCCAGCTCATGGTGGGTGGTACCATCCCTGGGCTGGTGGTCCTGGGTTCTATAAGAAAGAAGGTTGAGCCTTCAAGCCATGGGGAGCAAGCCAGGAAGCAGCCTCCCTCCATGACCTCTGCATCAGCTCCTGCCTCCAGGATCCTGTCCTGCTTGAGTTCCTGTCCTGACTTCCTTTGATAATGAACTGTGATGTGGAAGCAAAAGCCAAATAAACTCTTTTCTCCTCAAGTTTCTTTTGGTTATGGTGTTTCATCACAGTAATAATAACTCTAACTAAGACAACTATAAAGAAAATGAAAATTTATTTTTGGTCAAAATAATTTTATTGCACTTCTAAAATGGAAATTTCAAGCCTATAATAAAATATTGAGTAAAAGTACATCTTTCTTTTAAAGATGTGCATAATATAACTCGATTACATTTATATAAAAATTATCTATAGGGATAAATATATGAGTTAATGTACAGTAGAACCAGAGTCAACAGTTTTTAAGTAATCACCAAAATAAAAAGATACTAAATATTCAAGATGCAGTCAAGAGATATGGAGGATAGAGTGCAAGGAAAAGATGGTATTTGGGGATCGTATTTGAAGAATTTCGCAGAACTTTTGGAGAGCACTGTGTGATGTTTCTGTAGTTGTCCTAACAAGTAACTGGCTTAGAGCAAAAGGACTTTGTCGCCAGTCCTGGAAGTCAGAAATGTTACAAGAGTATCGCTGGGCTGAACTCAAGATGTGGGCCGGGCGCACCGCTTTCTGGAGACTCTAGGGGGCGTTTCACCTCCCTGCAGCTTCCAGCTTTCAGGAATGGCCTGTACTCTGGCTCAGGCCCCCTTTCTCCACCTTCAAAGTCAGCATGAATGGGCTGAATTCTTCAATATCAGCTCACTCTGAGTACCTCTTCTATCTGCTTCTTTCATTGTGTGAACAGTTGGTTATGTCAGGCCTACAAGGATAACCCAAGGGCAATCTTTTCACTCGGGGTCATCTGATTAGTGACCCAAATTAATCTATGATGTTAACATGGATTGTTCCCTAGGGATTAAGACATGAGCATCTTTAGGGAGCTACTGTTTCTTCCCATCACTGAAACAGACATCAATATACAGATTTAAGAGGCTTTACAAACTCCAAGTAAATAATCAAACACACACATGCACGCACAACAGACAGACAGACAGACAGACAGACACACACACACACACACACACACAAGTGCACTAGCTGAAACACATCATAATCAATGTGCAGACCAACAAATAGTAAGGAGTGATATTTGATAGAATCAGATAAGAAGATATAGGTTACCTTAAAAAGAGTAATAAAGCCTGGCGGTTGTGGTGCACACCTTTAATCCCAGCACTCGGGAGGCAGAGACAGGCGGATCTCTGTGAGTTCGAGGCCAGCCTGATCTACAGAGCGAGATCTAGGACAGGCACCAAAACTACACAGAGAAACCCTGTCTCGAGATAAAACAAAACAAAACAAAATAACAAAAAAAGAGTAATAAAATCAGACAATTGCATATTTATTAGCACCACTAATACAAATCAGAAAGCCCTAGAATGATGTCTTCAATGTGCAGGAGAAATACTACTGATTTGTAGTTGACAGGTATCAACAATTATCAGAATAGTACTTTATACAGTGTAAATAAGTGTTTTAGTCCTAAAATAGAAGTAAAGAGGTTTCTAGAAAAAAGAAGAAAGAAAGATGTACAACTAAAAGATCCCTTTAAGAGACATCTTTAAAAATCTACTCAGGCAAGGTGTGGTGGCATACCCCTTTAATCCCAGCTCTTGGGAGAGTAGATCAGAGGCAGGAGACTCTCTGTGAGTTGGAGGCCAGCTTTGTCTACATAGTGAGTTCTCGGTCAGTCAAGGCTACATAGTGAGACCCTGTCTCAAAATAAGAACAAAATCTACTTTGGCAGAATATAGTGACCCTAACCCTAAGCTGGAAACTGAGATGAAGAACAGAGAAGAGGCCACTATTTCAGGAAACATGCTTTTTAAATGTTAACATTTTGTGGATTGAACTGATCTTAAAGTGCACAGGAACAACACAAACGATGTCGCATCACTTTGTAGCACAGCAAAAATTTAGATATCATAATGTTTATTCAATGACAAGCATTAGTTCAGTAAATTAAGGTCATTAATTCAATATGAAGCCATCTAAAATATTATGCAAGTATGTTTATTCATAGGCTTACTGTATTTTGGGAGCAGACTACTAAATAGTAGATATGGAAAGATCAAGATAATTTCTTATTAAAATATAGTTAAAGATTTATATATCAAAAAATGGTTAAAAGAATATTCACCAAAACCAAAAATTATTACTTTGAGTTGGAATAATGGTTTATTTATATTTCCTTGTTTATATCTTATTTATATCTTCTTATATTTGGTCTATTACTTAAAACAAAAAACTTTGCTTAGATTCACAAAAAATAACTAGGATAATACGAAGATTTCTTATATAGCCTGTATCCAATTACACCTGTGGCTAATGATTTACATCCAGATGGTAGATTTAATATTAATAAACTAGTATTTATAAGTTGTTAACCAAAAGTCATACTTTATTCAGATTACATTTATTGTTTTAAATATTTATTTTATGTGTATGGGTCTGTGCCCAAGTATATGTACTTGGACCACATGTATGTAGGAGTCAGCTCATTTCCAATACTCAATACCTGCAATTTTGTTGGAACTCTTTTCTTTGTAGAACTTGGTTTGCTCCCAAGGACCACTTTTAACCAATGGCTCATAGATGGGGGCTATAAATCCACCACATCTATCACCTGTTAGTAGAATTTACCAGCTCCCAGAGTTTTACCTGGAGGACTAAGCTGCGGTGCCAGATTGCAGCTGGCTTCACTGTATATCCTTAAAGCTCATCTTCTCTTTCCTAGACAATGTCTCCACTGCCCTGACAGTGTTCCTGTATCTTCTAAACAATCATCGAGGGGACCCAAGTAAGAACACTGGTGCTTGTACGTGTGTGCATGCGTGTGTACATGCATGTATGATGCGGTTCTTTCTGCTTATCCTAACAGATCATATGTCAGTCTGTCTTGTTTGTGATTATATACCAGTGCCCAGTTTAGTGTCCAGTTTGCAGAGAACACTCAGTATAGATTTTTTGTCACTGATGAATGTCAGTTGTTGCTGTTACTGAAATGCAGAATTTCTTCTTTTCACTGAGCTTAATTTATAGCAGTACACACACACACACAGACACAGACACAGACACAGACACACACACACACACACACACACACACACACACACACTATGAAATATATTCTCCAAAATGGAAACTAAAAATATTTTTCCCTAAAGGCTTTGAAGAACAGTATACCTGTTAAGGTGTTGTTTTAGCACTTTGTAATGGCTAGAGGCTCTTTACAGGGAAAGGGTGTCAAGAAAGATTCCCTTAGGAGTGCGGTGCTTCTTGCTGGAGGGACTTGAACCTGTGGTGTAGCGCTGCTTCAGAGGTGCTTCAGGGCACAAAATCCCAGCATGCTTATTTATGGGTGGTTTAAACAGAAAGCAATAGGACCTTGGACTAGGCACACACAGTAAAATAAGATGAATACTTGAATAGAAGTTGTGGCCAGGAGGCCGTGGCGCACACCTTTAATCCCAGCACTTGGGAGGCAGAGCCAGGCGGATCTCTGTGAGTTTGAGGCCAGCCTGGTCAACAGAGCAAGATCCAGGACAGGCACCAAAACTGCACAGAGAAACCCTGTCTCGAAAAAGAACCCTCCCCCGAAAAAAAGAAGTTGTGGCAATAAAAAAAAAAATCTAATAACATATATTATGAACATGGGTCTTTCCTTGAAAATATCAGTTTTCTCAGAACTGATGTATGCTGTGTTGTATGTTATCTCCATTCTTAATGAAGAAAAAGAGCTGGAATTTGAAGCCAATTATGATGACTTTAAAGCCTTCCTCCCACCCCACCCCTGCCCCGTGCTCCTGACCATTGCTCTATACTGCCCCTTGTGTCAACAATACTTAAAACTGAAATCAATGGCTGAAATCAATGAAATCTTCAGCTGGAAGAAAATAAGATTGAAAACAAGATATTATTGACAATAAAATGCACGTGCTCTGAGTTGCCTTCAAAAAGCTCTAGGCTCCTATTTAAGATGGAACAGATGTGTCTTGTGACTCCACTTCAGGAAGAGGTGGAGGGAACAGACCACACTCGGGCCCTGCAGGTGGACCTTTCTCTGGGAAACCAAAGAGAGGACTGAAGCATGGGAGAGGCAGCCAGCTGTCTTTAGAGGACCTTCAAAATCTCTTTCAGATGTAAGATTCCAGAACATAAGAATGAGATGACTTACACAGACCCTGCGTGTGTGGCTGGGGAGTACCAAGACTTAAACTAGTAACAGGACTCTAGAGAAATACATGAATGCATGGTAAGTCAACAGCTGTGTGCTACACATATTCTTTGCACAGGCGAGCAGAGCTTCACCCTGAAATCCCACGGTGTGAGTGTCTAAAGCAGTGGTTCTCAACCTTCCTAACATTGTGACCCTTTAATACAGCTCCTCTTGTGATGACCCCAGCCATAAAATTAATTTTGTTGCTACTTCATAACTGTATTTTGCTACTATTATGAATCATAATGTAAATATCTGTGCCTTTTGATGGTCTTAGGTGACCCCTGTGGAAGGGTTGTCTGACCCCACAGGGTTGCGACCCACTGAGCTAGAGTGTGGATTTAGAGTCAGTGTACATGAGTGGCCTTGGACATGCGTCTTACTTCTTCTGAGTCTTAGTTTTCCTGTTGTGAAAAGGTACTGCTCTGTGGCTTAAATCATCCTAGACCCTTGAAAACTGGAAGGGCTCAAGATGGTTGATATATATATATTTTCCCTGAGAAACTTTGAATTGAATTAAAAATTTCCTTAAGATTTTATGTTTCTTCTACATATTCTCTAAAATTGGAAGGGGAAAATTTAAATTTGGAATGCTATACTATTGAGAAGGAGAATTTAAAACTTCTCTCCAAACCATGGTTCATTGCTAAGGTTTGCTGGCGAACAGATGCATCTGAAGTCCCATGATTGCTCTGCAGCTGAGACAGGGGTAGAAGCCGAGTTTCCTGACGTTCAGGCTTGGCTTCCTGCCACCTGCCAAGATGACAGGTTTCTGTAGGGAACGGAACATAAATATTTTGCTCTAACTGTTTATATTTGGGGGGAAAGCAGGCTAGTTCTGGACCAGAGCTTGTCATGACTCCTGTTGAAATATCTCCCCCCAATTTTCTTGCACATCTGATTTCTGATTGGCTTCCCCCTCTGTTCTCCTCATGCCCAGTTCCCCCCAACATCTAGACCTCCTGTATATCCTTCCCACCTCTCTCCTCTATTTTCCTCTTTTATCTTACTCAATCTCACCTCTTTTTATCTCCTTCTCTACTCACCTAGACTCATTTTTATGATTGAGATTCTTAAATTTCTGACCAAGCAGTCCTGGTTAAGACAACACATCTCCATGGAGGTGCGATAGCCAAGGATTAAGCTTCATTCTGGAAGCTTCTCAGAAGCATTAGAATTCAGAGATGGGTGCCAGCAGGAAGCAACCAGCAATGCCAGATTGTGCAGGCTTCACAGGAAAACATCCTGTGTTCCTGGTCCCCTTGGTTGCCCTGCTCAGTGCCTAAGTCTTGGCTTCAGGCAGATCAGGTTCAAGTCCTGGCCCTGCCGCTAACTAGCTGTTTTCTCATCTGAAAAATGAGAAATATTGCAGACCTCCAAAGAACAGTGGGGGAGGAAAGGAAATTATGTTTATTTTGCATGTTTAAAGCAGGTTGGTTATAAATGCAGTCTCTTTCTAGAGAAGAAATGGGAATTGTTTAGATATGATACAATAAAAGGGTAAATTGATGAACCTACTTTTAAAGAACAACTTGTTTACAAATGTTTTACATTGCTGTAGATTTTAGTTTATTGATATAAATTTGAAGTTAATTTTGTTATACTGTATATATATTTCTACTCTTGTTTGAGGTATTATGTTTATGTAACTCATTTAGATTGTAATGGATAATTAAAAATACAGATTAATAATTAATCTTCTATGATAGTCAAACTTGTAGTCATGTTAAGTTTTCTAGGTATACGTAGATATAATTCAATTAGGTAGGTAATCTTCAAACACTTTAAAGACCTACAGAATATGGCATTTAAAATGTTTTAAAAATTTAGACTTTCTGGATAGTGAGACATGTCTGCTCCTGGCAGCACCTATTTACTTCAGAGAGAATGGGCATTGAAGACACTCTATATGGAGTTTATTTTCTTGGCAAAAATAGCCATTTGGGCAAGAAACTGTTCTTGCCTGGACTGCTTGATTGACTGGACATGCAGGACCCATAGGAAGGTGACCACTGAACTTTGCTTGGTGAAATGGTCCTTCAGGTTCCTGCTTCTCAGAGGAAACTGCCAGACATTCTACAGGACACAGAGAAGAAACTGAGAGATTCTATGACTGTGGGCTGAAGACAGATGCCCCAGTTTTACAGAGGAACTTTGGACAACTGTCCTGGCTGTCAGCTGTCTCTGTCTACTCTCACTAGACTCCCGAAAGTTTCTTGTGTCCTTCTCCCATTTCTCAGGTAATATTATATCCTTCTGAGGTCTTTGATGTAGTTGAAGACTAGATAGTTATAATTTTCCTTAGTTATGATAACAGATAAATTAGATATGAAACCTTAGACTCACAAATATAGGATAGATAGGTTATCTTCTTTAATTTTGCCAAATTCAAATAAATTAGATATTATAACTATAATTCTTGCTTGATAATTGTTTTGTTATATGTAATTTTACTATGTGAAAGTTAAAACCTTCTTTTTTGAAAAAAAGAAAAGGGGAAGTGCTGTGGGATATTCCGTATGCTGTGAATGTGTTGTGCTGATTGGTTAATAAATACAGTGCTGAGTGGCCAGTAGCCAGGCAGGAAATATAGGTGGGACAAAGAGAGAGGAGAATTCTGGGAGGTAGAATGCTGAGTCAGGAGACAACTGCCATGACAAGCAACATGTAAAGATACCGGTAAGCCATGAGCCACATGGCAAGGTATAGATGAATAGAAATGGGTTAATTTAAGATATAAGAACTAGATAGCAAGAAGCCTGCCATGGCCATACTGTTTATAAGTAATATAAGTCTCTGTGTTAGGCAGCCTGGTCTACAGAGCAAGTTCCAGGACAACCAGGGTTATACAGAGAAAGCCTGTTTAGGAAAAACCAAGATGATGATGATGATGATGATGATGATGATGATGATGATGATGATGATGTTTAATGTGAAATTTTTTTCCAGTATAAAAGGAACTAAGAAGGAAGGGATGGGAAAATTTTGTTCTGTGACTACGCTGGTTCCTGCATTCAGTTCTTTCCCTGATCCATTTTTCTTATTTATTAAGCAAAAGTCCCAAAGAAGATTTATTGTCACCCTGGCTTTGTCATACCCAGGCAGCTTGTTAATATTGCAGATAAACAGCGTTCCTGAACACGGCCCTGCACAGTTCTATTCCTGTTCTGTGCCCAGTGATTCTGTTGCATTGCCTTGGTAACCAATTAAAATACTTTTATGTGTATGGTGATATTCCTAATTCTGCGAAAACCAGGATGACTTACTGAGAAGACATGCTAGTCACCTGGTGGTGTTCTTGCAAATCTGCTCCATTCCATTCTGGTTTGACTTCTTTTTTTTTAAACCTTCGGAAATCCAATTACCTTTGAATCCTCTGCAAGAACTTACATGCCATTTCTAGCACACCTGGACCTAAGTCAAGAAACACCCTTGTCAACCACACAGTGGCTGGTAGGGATTCTGGGAGAAAAAATGGGTGCTATATATCCTTCTGCTAGCCTCAGGGGGAAGTGAACAGGAATTCTTCAGCCTTGAGGCTGATGAATCTGACTGTGGTTTCTTACAGTATGTTAAACATTATGTATTCAATGACTACTTAGTGAGTGATGATCGCAGTTAGTGGTTGCACTAGATACAGAGGGAGACAGGTTACTTTCTTACCCATAGAGCTTAAGGTCAGTGGGAAAGAGACAGTATCGTGCAGGCTGTAGACGCTGAGTCGGTAACAACAGGGGACCCTAGGAATCTCATGAAGAGCATAAGACTGACCTGGGGTGTGAGATGGAGGACTGGACTCCCAGAGGAATGAAAGCTACACAGACCCCTGAGTGATCCCAGCCACGTGGGGTCAACTTCCTGATTGGCAGAATGTCTCATTCTTGCCCTCCTATCCGTGGCCCTTTGATGGATGCCCTCAGCTTGGGTGGTCTGTTTTAAGATCTGTGGGATTATCTGCTCTATTTCTCCTTCTCCAGGCAAGTGTCCTCTTGTTAGCCCTTTGGGGGAAGGGTTATACTGAATGCTCTAAGTTGTTTAGACTTTCTCTTGACCCCGAATGCTTATGTATGTGAATGGTACCCAAAGACACATTTTCTCAAACCACAAGCCTTGGGGCCAGGGGACCAGGACTCAAAACTCAGCATATATGCTTCAGTGTATTCTGAAGTTTGTAGACTCAATGTCATCCATCAGAGCTTAGATAATTAGTGACCCAGACCATGAGTGTTAAAAAAATGTGCAACCTCAGAGGTTGTGGGAGTGTCTCCACCCAATGACTGGTCCAGCCTGAGATCCATGCCATGAGAGTGAGCCCACCCAAGACACTGCCTGGAGTGCCAGGACCCAGAGGTTAGATGGTCCAGAGACATAGGATAGAACCAAACACAATTGGAGAAAAAAAACATGTCAACGTAATGATGCCTACTGATACTCTGCTATACTCATAGATTGGTGATTATCCCAGTAATCATCAGAGAGGCTTCATCCAGTAACTGATGGATATGGATACAGAAACCCAAGCTGAACATTAGACTGAACGCAGGGAATCTTGCTGAAGAGAAGAAGGAAGGATCGTACAAGCCAGAGGGGTCAAGGACATCATAAGAAAACCCACAGAAACAACTAACCATGGCTCATAGGAACTCACAGAGACTGAACCAACAACTAGGAGCCTGCATGGGACTGATCTAGGCCTTCTACATATATGTGACAGTTGTGTAGCTTGACCTACTTGTGAAACTGCTAACAGCAGGAGCAGGGGCTGACCCTAATGCTTTGGCTGGCTTTTGGGAATTTATTCCTCATACTGGATTGCCTTGCCTGGACTTAACACAAGGGGAGGTGCTTGGTCCTACTGCAACTTGATATGCCATGCTTTGTTGATAGCCATGGGAGCCTGCCCCTTTCTGAACAGAAATAGAGGAGGAGTGGATTTGTGTGTGGGGGGGGGGCAGGGGAAGGAGAGTGGAGGTGGAGGAGGGAGTGGGAGGAGAGGAGGGAGGGGAAACTGTGGTTGGGATGTAAGAGAAATAATAAATTTAGTTTAAAAAAAGTGCAACCTCGATCACATCCCTGAACTCTCCCATAGCTGGTAGAGGGA